CACTTGATCTACCATGCTATAGAGAAAAGCCTGCATTTTTCATCAAATTTTTCAAATTTGTCTCTTGGAAGATTGTCAAATGTTGTACATGTTTTATAATCATGTTTGATGGAACCATTAAACATAATCACATCATATTCATTGAAAAATGTTTTGGGATGGGAACTTGTTACATGGATGCAATTTTTACAACGAATTGGTCTCGGGTGTTCCTCATACAGATTTGAAAATTTATCCTGAAACCCTTGAATTTTGATCTTAATCTTTTTAAAAACTCGGAAAGGGTTTAGAACATCGTTTTCACTTATGAAAAACCTCTTGTTTTCTCTCCAATTTGAGATCATTTCTCTTACTGTTTGTTCCTGATTCTCTGCCTCCATGCCTTTCAAATTAATAGACGAAAGAGCATCAAGTTCCTTAAATATTAAATCCATTGAACTTCTTCCCTCCGAACCCCAATTAATGATAATATCGGCTTCTGTACTACTCCATTGTTTAAAATTCTTTTCTCCAACTAAATGTCTAAAGAATCTCAATACATGAGAGATTGGAAAATCATCTTCTAAAAAATTCAATTGAATCAGAATGGATGGTATATTACGATCTTCAAAGATTGACCACTCCCTTTCCAAATCACTGTTCTCATGATGATCATCAAAAAGATAGGAAAAATCCCGATTCACCAACGATTGAGATTTTATACCACTTCCTAAGACTGCCACGTTCTTTCGGTTTATAAATTTGAAAGCATCAATATCATCTACAGTAAGGAATGAAGCAATTTGGGATAAGGCACTAGGATCGAGTTGGTTCATTTTTTTTGTAAATATTTTTAATATCTTAATAATGTTAGCGGGAGATTTTTGGTTTGAAGTGATGATCAAATAAATCTAATATATAATATTATCATATTAAGGAATCATTGTATAGGGATCATTATAAATTCTAAAAATCAAGTTGAGAATATAGGAAAAGAATTTTTTAATATTATAACCCATTTGTTGCATATTCAAAAATTGAAACTTTATATGTCGACACTATAATTCAAGGACAAATTTTGCTCATCCATGGGTTTTGTACTGCATGACAAAACCACAGTAATTTTGAGTGGCATTTTTGCAAGTAATTGCATCTATTTCAGGTTGAGTAAATAAATTGTTTCGAATACTATATTCTCATCTTTAACCTACAATATTGTAATAATAATTTGAAAAATAGGAAAATTATATTACTATGTATCACAGAAAGATACCAAANCAAAAGGAATGATTAATGTTCAGGGATTAACTTGTCAAGCAGCCGAATTGAATTACCACCTGGAAAAATAATTAACCTCTTTTCAGCTTTAACATTCCAAGGAAATAATTATTTCTTGTAAAATCATGAGCAATAATTCTAGGCGCTGTAGTCTTCATACAACTGTCCGAATGTC